CGTCAGCCTCAGCTGCTCCAGAATCATCATCTCCTCCGCCTACTGTTATCGACATTGTCCTGTCAGAATCCCCGTCGAGCCGCATCAATCTTGCCCCCTCCCGTAGAAAGAAACAAAGTATACTCCTACTTATACCACGGCCATCTGAACCATCTCCACCCATAACCTCAACCTCCTCATCCGAACCCTCAGGATCACTGTTTGCCATCTCGATCACGTAATCCCCAAATACCATCGACCGTGGCATCGACGACCTAATTGTGCTGATAACATCCTCCCTTTCCCGTTCATTCTCAAGCCTCGTCCACTTCTGCTGCATCAAGGGATCGACCTCTCGGGGTTTTGCGCAAGGGTGCTCGGACCTGACGTGCTTCTTGAGCTCTTTATACGTCCCAGTGAAGGAGCAATTGTCTTGCATGCAGCTTCGCATCTTCTTGTTGAGGAATTCTCTCGCGGGTTCGACCACCGTCCATCCTTTGACCTGCCCTCGGCAAAGAGGGCAAGAAGCAAGATCTATGCACTCCAAGTTTTCATCATTGTCGTTGGTTTTGGTGTAGGCTTTATTGAACTGGTCGAGGCAATTGGAGTGGCGATGGCTGGTGGCACACATGTAGGGGCGGCAGCCCTTGTCGTGGGAGGAGCAGAGGAGGAGCACGGCGTTGTGTGGGGACTCCATGCATACTGAGCATTTGGCATCCTCCCAATCTTTTTTCTCTAATGCTAAGGATGGTGATATACTCCTTGGGTTGCCTATGCCTGTGACATCATACTGGTGGTGTAAACGAAGAGGGTATGGAGCTGACCTGATACGACGAGGAAGTGATCTGCTACGGTGACTCCTAGCAATTCTTTCCATTTTCTACGAATAACCAAAACAAAGAAAAAGGAAAATAACCAGATAAAAAATAAATCAATATATAATGTTATTTGTCAAGAAGGCGTATACACGCATAGAAACAAGAGGTGAAGTAAGCACAAATTCCTTCTACTCTGATACCATTTAAGCCAACCAGCTAAAGTAAGTTCTTTATGGCAAATATCCATTCAAAAGTCACGAAATTGCATAGTCAACTCTAGATTGGAGATAATAGGTTACAGTATAAAACCTCATAGAACTCTTGCGAGGTTTTAAAGTACATGATCTAACTCTTGTGAATCTTTTGATCTATGGCCATTTACCAATTCATCCAATTGTGCTATGAACGTAAAAATAGTCAGTTCAAAATATAATAGACCCCAAAATAGTATTGCATACAGTATCTAGAGGTTAAAAAAAAAGAAACCTATATCATAAGCAAGTCATTGAAAGAATGCAATGCAGACAGGAATGCAGTCTTTAAGTATATTTTCAGGTAAACGAAATATGTGACATGTTTAATTTTTAGACCCAGATTTCCCACACTTCAGGCCCAAAGCTACCTTTTCACTAAGAGATCTTTAAACTCATTGGATAAGATTTGATCTTGGAAGGAGGTTTGGTTTTGTAAATTATTCCAGCTGGAAAAAAACGAAAGAAAAAAAAAGTGCTGCTATTGTTGGAGTGGCCATGGATGGTACAACCTATCCTCATAGAGTTGCAGGCAACACTTATACGGATCTTGATATTATATTATAACATACATATAAGATACAAATTAATACGGGTCTTGAACACACACAAAACACACCCACCAACATACAGAGTGACACACACAGACACAAGCGCACATAGAGACAGACGCATGCAAATGTATACATACAAGATTTTAAACCTGGAAGGATGTTGATCTTTTAAATTATTCTTATAGCAAAAGTGAGAAAAGAAGTGTTCTGTGTTGGATTGGCTATAGATGTTGCTAGTTACTACCCTAGACCCTATCCCTGATAAGAGTTGCGGGAAAAACTTATACACGTTTTGATCTTATATTATACACATACATACTATACACACCACACACACATCCACACACAAGCGAGGGTTGGTCTCTGATTCCTCCACGTCGTTAGTTGGTGTGTTGAAGATGTGGCAAGCTACTACAATCCAGATCATAATCGAAGCCTTGGATAGTTGGATGTATATCATATCAGCAACACAAAAACCAACACTGTAGAGGCCTAGAGGGTTACACCTTCATTTAATATCCATGTGTGTCATTTTGATTGCGGAAAATGATTGCTTACACCAATTTGGCTCAAAAAACAAAAAATGAAAATTGGATAAATACATCCAGGTCACTATGCTTCATCCACATCTTTCAAAGATACGTGAATTCATTTGGATTTTGTCAAGGTATAAGAGGGAATCTGCACCAGATGCAGAAATTACAAAGCATCTAGTTCTATGATCAAGTGTACGAGTTTGAACCGAACATAGTCAACAAAGTAAGGTAGATGGCTTGAAAAACAAGAAAAAAAATGAAATCTGAATCAATCTTCTGGAAAGCTGAGCTCAATATATATAATTTCAGCATAATCTCTTTAATTGATCGCCGCATCCCATGTTATCATGCGCTTTCAAGTTTCAACCGTATCTTACCACCAAGATAATTGGGAGCGAGGGTTGTGATCGTTGAATAAAATTTAGATAACATCAACAATTGGACAATGTGCAGGTCAAGATCCCCACCACTATAACACTGTGTTTAGCTACACTTGTTTGATTACAAAGTACATGCATAACTCCATAAAAATCAAACATGCATTCCTAAACTAACGAAAACCCATCAAAATTCAAACAAATCCTGCAGCCACATGTGAATAATCATCAAGATATATGACCCCAAAATGTGGTATCTCGTCAATGGCCAATCAAATTCAGAATGAACAGAATATCCCAAATGGAAATACCCATTTCATAATATCTCCTAACGGTCTCAGATCCGCACCAGATCACGATTCAAGAAAGAAATAAAGCAAGAAAGATCCAGTAAATTACCTGAGCACGAGATCGAATGCTAGATCTCAATCCAAAGAAAGAGGAGAAAGAAAGAAATGGGTTTGCTGAACAAAAGGATAAAGAAAGAAAGCTCGCACACCCAATTGAATTCAACAAGTAATCAATCGAAAAAACACGCTAAAGAGTATAATTAAAGAGAAAGAAAACAAATTAGAGTAAATCTATGAAATGGAGACATGCCCACATGCTTGCATTTGGACCCTAGAATTTAATAATCGAATGGAAGAAAGAAAATGAGAAGAAATTGAGTGCTAGATTACCTGAAGAAATTGAATCTGAGAGGTGCTAGCGATTTCGTAGGAGAAGGGACGGCCACGTTTCTATGTGCAAATCGTGTGGAACTTTACTTTCGGGTTGAAAATGGAATTGGATCCTAGATTGAAGAAGAGGGGTGGATTGTTTTTGACGCCATTGTGACACGAGGATGTAGTTATTGTTTCTTTTTTCTTGTATACACCCAACATCTGCTCTATTTGCATATTTCTCACTTGCCCCTACAATCTTATGTATTGGACTAAGCTCTCATTTTCTGTCGTAGGAATTTTGCTGGATGTTATAACAAATTGCTTATAAGCTGCAGAAATAGCAGTGGTAATTAAACATCAAAAATTATAAAAAATAATTAAGGTAGCGTTTGGATTTGAGAATTTGGTTTCAATTTCCAGAATTGAATACTAAAATTTGAAATCTATAATTTCAAATTTAATTTCTTCGTTTGGGAAACATTCAAATTTGAATTCCCGAATTCAATTTAAAATTCATGTTTGGCAAACTTTAGAATTTCAATTTAAAAAATTTCAATTGAGTTGTTTGTCAATTAGTAGAATTCTAATTTCTGAACTAAAATTGTAGCTCGAAAATAATTTAGAAATAATGTAATCAATTTACATAAGTTATGCATCAAAATTAGTGGAAATAAATGCTTCATATAGTATATCAAATATCCAGCTAACTTGACATATAGATAATATACCTTAAAACTTTGAATGCTTGAATGTCAATAGTTCACCTAATAATCACCATAAAAATGACTGAAATCATTCATCAATAAAATTTTATAAACTCATCCACCATTAACTATAACAATAAATAAAGTAGAAACTTCAAATATTGCATATAACAATTCAACAAACTAGAGATCCAAAATATATTTGAGCTACAATTTTAGTTAATATTTCCCCATCATACAGTGTCATGCACAAGTTGCTCTCGCACTAGTTTCTTTAAAACTTTTACATCTGATTCAAATAAGAGTTTCTTTCTAATGCTCAAGTTGCTCTCGCACTAGTTTCTTTAAAACTTTTACATCTGATTCAAATAAGAGTTTCTTTCTAATGCTTATACACTTTTGTGATTCAAATAAGAGTTTCTTTCTAATGCTTATACACTTTTGCTTTGTATTTCTTATTGTAGCTTTCTCTCCCCGGTTCAAGAGGTCTTGTTTTGCGAGGTCTTAAATCACCTGAAACAATAAGAAGACCAAATGAGCTCCATTTTAAAGTGTGATACTATGAAGGAATCTCAAGAAAACAAAAGAAAAATAACCATGGAAATAATCTCAAGATAACCATAAAAGCCATGCCAACTTTTGTGTCATCAGGATAGAATATCAAGCTTCTATAACAACACTCTGGATGGCGCATATCCACGCAAACCATACAAACACATAACCATGGAAATAATGCAGACTTATGATGAGAAATAATAGTGTACAACTCATGGCGACAAAGGAGATTTTGTAAACTAACGTGAGGAAACTACATGATTTCATAGTTGATAAAGACAGCTAAATAGTTAATAGATGTATCATATAATTATTCTTTCTCATCTGGATACATGATTCATGTACATATGTTGGGAAACAGGGTCAATATAACCAAATATGATTTGCATTTTTGAAAATGAGGGTGAAAATCCTATGATATAGCAAGTGATATATTTGCATATCTTTTAAAACATTGGTGAATATGGACAATGGTTTGCAGTTTTTCTAGAGTGAATGTTTTGTCAAACTAATCAATCAATAATTAGTGCAAAATGCGAGAACCACATAGAAAGAAACATCAATTACAATTAAATGATTGAAAGCACGCTGAAGTGGAAATTTTGATATACACTAAGAGACAGACGAGAATATAGGAAACTGCTGCAAGTGAACTAAATAGATGCACACATAAGAAGATGCAAAATAGATGCACATATGAGAATATACAAAATAGATGCACATAAGAGCTTAAATGCAAATGAAAAAGTTAATGAGTTATTTTTAACCTTTAGTCTGAGTTTTCAAGACATAGCATAATCCAATCTAACTTTTGATTGTCTGGAAGTAACTTCAACATTCGGAAATCATGTGCAGAACCATCAATGAATCTCTTAACTGCCCTTAAAAATTGATGTGTAGGAATACCCCTCACTTTAGATACATCGGCATAAATCTCATCTCAATCAGCTTTTGGTAGGTTCGTACTCACTAGATACTCCTTTAGCATCTCACCAACATCACTTACGGCATTTGCTAAAGGGTCATTCTTGAGCTTCTTATTGGATTTAGAAGTTGAAGATTTTGAAACCTCTCTGCTAGAGCTCTCCCCTTCATTCGCACCTTCCATATCCATAGCTGCAATAGAATCATCAATTTGTTCCGCCAGTTGCTCTATCGGTGCCCACTAACACACATATATCATCTCAGTTCTCAATAGCTTTGTTTTGATATGCCTTGGCATCTGAATTTACCCATGCAAGCATGAGAACAAACAAAAACATAGTGAGACAATCTAGTAACACAATTATTCAATACGGTGAAAACAACTATCTACATATGTATGTATTAAATATCTTTCCATATGCATGGATGCCTATGTTTAATAAATAGATCGACTTCACAATCAATCAATAGTTTGCTACATTTGACTAAGGACTTTCATGATATAATCTTGATATTTTTGTAGAAAAGCTCAAAAAAGGACTAAAAACATATGATGTGGGTCACCCACTAAAGTGTTATGAATCCACAGGACCAGAGCTGTTCCTCGAACATTAAGAAAAGGAAAGTATATAAAAACCAAGCTAATGTCTTACTTGTTGGTACTTTTAAACCATTAGGCCTCTGAAAAGCATCACGAAGGATGCGAGGATCAGATGTGGATCCTTCCCAACCAGGTAAAACATAAGTAAATTGGAGATTGAGATTGCACACGGCAAGGACATTTGTGGTGATATCACCATTTCTATCTCGATATCTAGGTTGATCCTCAAGAGGGATAGTCATTTGAATGTGTGTCTCATCAAGTGCTCCAAGTACACCCTAACAATCAACCCCATAACATCATATAGATTACATATTTGCACGAACGAATCTATATATGGTGCCGAGGAATCTTCGGCAAATACATGAAACGACTGCCAGTCCTGTAAAGCCACTGCTCAGCTTCAATTAGTGCTGCATCGAGATCTCTGGTAGAGTCGCCAAACAAGAAGTCAGTCTTCCTGAGAGACTGAACGGAGCTGGCATCCTTCACCCCATAACATCATATAGATTACATATTTGCACGAACGAATCTATATATCCAAAAAACAAATTATTATTACCTCAAACCATTTCCATTTGTTATCTCCCGCATAACTAGTTGTGGATTCTGCCTGTTTGACATAATACTTCCCAATATTCATAACCGCTCAGAGCACCGTATGAAATTGTCGGCTTATAGTTGTAGGCGTCAAAAATGCTGATAGATATCCAAACATAAGAGAAGATCACCCAAAAAACCACAAGAATTGACTTCATACTATTTTAGAAAGATCAAGACAGGTATGGACTGTCTCGCCAGCGAGACAGTGTTCGCTGTCTCGCCAGCGAGACAGTGTTCGCTCAAACATAGAAAAGATCACCCAAAAATCACAAGAATTGACTTCATACTGTCTTAGAAAGATCAAGACAGGTATGGACTGTCTCGCCAGCGAGACAGTGTTCGCTGTCTCGCCAGCGAGACAGTGTTCGCTGTCTTGCCAACGAGACAGCTTTGAAATGATCAAAAATTAATTAAATAACTACCACCCACGTGTCCATTAACTGCCAAGGGACGTGGAAAACATCGTGAGCGAAAATCATGTGAATAACTGCCAGAATAACGGAGTTTGAAACGTGGGAAAGCGGTTACAGCAGAAACTGCCAGGCAGGTGGAATTTCCGAGATAATATTTACTGTCTCGAAGGCCGAGACAACAAACACTATCTTGAACACTGTCTCGGCCGCTGAGACAGTAAACACTGTCTCGTAGGCTTAACTTCTTCGTTTTGTTGTATTTTTTCAGTTATATGTCCCAGAGGCTATAAATACCCCCCTAGGGTCATTACTGACGAGGATCGAGCAATTTGGAGCAGAGAGAATAGTAAAATTTGAGTTCTTGGTGTGATTCCTTGAGATTCGAGCATTGACTTGATCTTAAGAAGAGTGATCATCTTACTTTGATAAGATATTCACTTCAAATTCCTACTTCGATAAACGAAGGAAGAATCTTTAAACCCCCTCACAATCTATGATTTGGTGGTCCACGAGTCAAAGCACTCCCGGCACAGGCAAAATCCCACAAAACAGGAGTCGATAAACGATTTCTGTGTTATTTTCTCGAAAGTTATAATTTTCTCAAATTTTCATTGTAATTCATTATAAACGACCGAAGTTTAATAGAATTATCAATGGAAACGACTTTTGCAGAAAACAAACTGGCGACCATAGTAGGAGCCAACGGTCTCGCTACCGAGGCCGTAGTGTCGCAGCCGATCAAGATTGTGGTCAACGAAGAGATCGAATATGAGTTCGATCAGGAAAAATTCGAGGAGTACCTGTCATCCTCATCCTCAAAACCTTCCTCGCCTCGTAAGTATAAGAATGTTTCATCTTCCAAGAAAGCTATCCAGTCTTCAACTTCAGTGAAGTCTACATGTGAATACTGTCACCCAATTGTTGCTAAGGACTCTACTTGCAACATATCTGCTCCTAATGACCCTTCATTAGTTAAGGCGTCACCAAATCAAAACTTACCTGCGCTGACGAGGAGGGCTCGTCAGAGACAACGTCAGCGCCGTGCTCGTCAATTAGCTAAGGCCTTACAACAAACCGACGGGGTCCATTACTATGCGGACCTAGAGTCGAGGAAGCATAAAGTGGTTCAGTTGCCTCAACGACAAACTAATCATATTTCTGCACAGCTTACAACGGAGGAATGGACTCTCGTCAAAAGAGC